GATAATATTATGTGTAATTATCTCAACAAATATAGTCTACTGTTTATGTAACATGTTCATGTGAGTAAGACATTTTCTAGAGGAAGACATTTTTTAAACAACAATTTTAAGAATGTTTCCAGGATAGCGAGTAAATTCTACCTGACATCCATTCTCATGTGCTTAAACTGGCTGTGAAATACAGCTGCTATAAGGAATTTGAATTTAAAATCAAGTGTTAATATTTACTTTGGCATTTCAACCCCAGAGGGCTCCAACTTCCGGCAGTACAAGTAACACTTGGGGACCCTCCTGCAGACTCATATCCAATATTACAGGCAAATGTAACTGTGGTGCCATCTGGGAAACTAGTTAGAAAAATGTCACTGTCCTTTAAATCCATGTTGTCTCCAACAGGTCTGGAACAGTTTTGAGCTGTACATGAAAAAAAAAAGATACAGACAAAAATAAAGACAAAAACAGAGAAGAAGTTCTTGAAAGAAATTGAAAACACTTACTGATACATTTTGGAGGCTCAGGCTTGAATGTTCCATCATCCGAACAATGCAACTGTCTTGATCCAACAAGTGTATAATCCTTTTTACAGGTGTACTGTATAACTTCATTATATTCATAGAGTTCTTTATTTGGACTGAAAGAGCCATCCTGTACTACAGGCGGTGATTGACAATATGGCACTGTATAATAAAAATAAAAATCTATCAGAATGAAAACAAACAGTGAGCTTTTAATCAGGGGTGTGACTTGTATTAAGACAAGACAACCAACCTTCACATACAGGAAACCTGCCCACCCACCCATGGCTTCTACAAGTGAGTTCTCCTCCACCAATTGGTATATGACTGATTGGAGGGAAAAAGGTTAGTTTAGAAATTTTATTTCACATGACACAGAACAGCATGTTTTTGTTTTTTTAAGACATCCAATTGCAACATTTTAGAGATTTAATAAGCTACTACTAACTTCGATCAAAAAACTAACTATCTTAACACTTTTTATTAAAGCTAACATCGTATTACTAACCCAATGTTACAAATGAGCACTGCTTTATCACCAAATTCAGTCCCAGGACGATATTCAATCTGTCCATTTTCAACTTCCCCCGCAAGGCCACAGTTGTACCCTGAAACAAGAAAAATAAGGATTAAATTGGTCCTTTAGAATTTTTTTGATAATATTATGTGTAATTATCTCAACAAATATAGTCTACTGTTTATGTAACATGTTCATGTGAGTAAGACATTTTCTAGAGGAAGACATTTTTT